ACCAGGGCAAGAGGAAGAATTAGGTGACCCACTTTTGTTGTAAAAAATTCCTCTATACATTGCTCTGTATTATATACTGAAAATGTGTTTTGGAAAGGAAGGAGATCAGCTGGATTGTTTTATAGCTCAAGTAGCTTTCTTTGTCTTGGTTATCTTTCTGTTTGCTTTGTTTTACTCTCTTGGGTGTTTAGCAAATTGGGAGAGAAGGAGTGGTGGGGAATGGATAAAGCTCATTCCAGGTTTGATCAGAGTATTATTTAGCCTGATTCTGGAGTCTGGGGCCTGATTAAAAGTCATAATGTTAAAAAAGAAAAAGGGTAAGAGAGAAGAAAGAAAGAAAGAAAGAAAGAAAGAAAGAAAGAAAGAAAGAAAGAAAGAAAGAAAGAAGAAAGAAAGAAGAAAGAAGGAGGAAGGAAAAAGAAAGAGGAGGGAAGGGAGGAAGGAAGGAAGAGAGAGAAAGAAAGAAGAAAGAAAGTCACAATGTTATGCTTTAAAAAAATTATTAATATTATTTTTTTAGAGATTTTTGCTACAGGGCACATGTGCTTGCCGGAAAGATAAGAGAGAGACAGAGAGACGGAAAGTGAGAAATCACTCCCCTCCCCCCCAGGGGGGATGGCCACACTATAACCCCTTCTCTTTCATTCTCCTCTTGGGATTTTGGACACGCACACACACGCACCTAGTGTGAGTTTTAAGCTTCTAGGTCTGGAACTCGAACTGCAGTCAACTAGGGAGTCCAGCGATGTAACCATTATACCAGCTGCTGGTCTCAAAGTCGCAATGTTATAAACCAATGTAAAGGAGCCCCCTGTGGCTTTATGCTAGGTAGGAACATTTAGTTATACCCCCAAGAGCAGTAGCCAGTCTGGAATTTTCTGCCCTATAAAGCTTCAGAGAGAGGACATTGTGGCTCTGGGTCAGTGCTCTGAAAACGGGACTGGTGTATCACAACTAATCATACTTTACTGTACCTTCTGTCTTTAGTCATTGCAAAGCCTTCAAAGTGTTCAAAAATAGATAAAATAGAAAAAGATACCCTTAAGGATGCAAGTGACGGCGTTGATAAAGGATAAAAAAACTATCATTTATAAAAGGATAAAAACTGACACATATTTACTTAAAAATACAAATTTAATTTAGACATAGCTGTAGACAAATTCATTTAACTTTAATCTTTCAACTACCAAAGAAAGAAAGAAAGAAGAAAGGGAGAAAGGAGAAAGGAAAACAAAGAAGAAAGAAAGCTTTGAAAATCCTCAAAGAGGATTTTGTCTTTTTGGTTTTTGTGTGTTTTTTTCCTCTGAGGGCTTGATTATTGTAAGACACTTGCTCCCTTTGGCTGTATGCTAAGCTCATACTATCAGTTAATGTCTATTGAGGATTTACTGTGTGCTAGGTACCCTGAGTTACACGGTTTATTGCATTTAGTGCACATAATAACTTTATGAGATAAGTGCTATTATCTCCTGCTTGACAGATTAGAAAAACAAAGTTTAAAGAGAATAAGTAATCTGACCCGTATCACTTTCCCAGGAAAAAGCAGAGCTGGAATATTAAATTGGGTGGAAGGAGAGTCTAACTCCATAGTCCACATGATCAAACGTGGTACTATACTGCTTCTTGCAGAGCGGGTAGAGGAGAATCTAGCCAGATATTAGCTACCTCTCTACTGCCTGCAGTTGGATCATTCCATTCTAAAAATGAGCTTCTGTAAGCAAGGAAACTGTGCACAGTTCTTTAGGTTGTGTACTGCTCAAGGGTACATGTCTAAGGGGATCATTCACATGGTAGATGTATTCTAATTTATATAGGAGTATGAGTGGGGGGTGAAGATCTGGAACTTCTGGAGCTGCTCACCAAATCCTAGGGTAGTAGCACACACAGCTGTGCAGAGTCACTGGGACATACACACGCACAAGACTGCCCTGTCCCAACCATACTCCAAGCATCCCACGAAGTTGTTCCTATTCTTCATCTACTGCTTTCAGTAACCCAGTTCCTACCCCCAATCTGTCTTCAAACTTGGAAGGGGGAAAGCATGCAGAATACATGTTACCATCTATGGTTGCTCAAATTCTGCAACACTACACTGACTGAATTGACTACTCTTAAGGAAGAAATACCCTTTCTAATTGGCCCAGGGGTGCCATATTATCTCTTAGGGGTCCTGACGAGGGTCTTTAACCAGATCCTGCAGTCCTCCATTCCCTTGATGTCCTTGGTCTCTGAGTGCTTGGGCTGCGTCAGCCATTTTAATGTCAGCTGAAGACCGACAGAGTTACGGAGGCCTCAAGAGAAGCAACCCTCATGTAAACTACTTTCCAAAGGAAGACACTGGTTTTTTTTTCAGGGTGTGATTCACATTTATCAGTTCTCTTCCCATGAAGATCATCTCACTGTGTCTGTGTTTTGACCAGGGCATGAATTAGTAACCACCAGGATATGCAGGCGACCTGGAGTCAGTGACCTGAACTGTGTCTTCCTGGAAGATGGTGGGACGAGGTCAGCAGAGGGGTACCAGCTGCAAGCCAGACGGCAGGGGAATTCCTCTCCTGAATTTTGAAGTTTTCCTTCTCTTCTGCCGAGCTTGTTGCATCACTTGTCCAGGAGATGCCTGCATGGTTCGGCTAAGCTGGGACATCCTGAAGAGTCTGGGCTGGATGGGTGGTGAGAGGAGGATGTGGCTCAGCTATTTTACTGTTTTCCTACTGTTACCACCCCCTGCAAAAGTTCTGTAGGAATGAGTGACAGTAAGAAAGACATGGGTCCAGGACTGGCTTCCTCTTAGAGGTGATAAAAGCCAGAGAGAAGGTACCTGATGCGAATGGCAGAGAGGTAAGTGACAACTCTTCCAGTGCTGGTTCCGGCTGCTTTTATCTCTTTTTCTTTTCTTTCTTTCTTTCTTTCTTTTTATTTATTTTTATACATTCAATTACTACACATCATTCTGCTTATAGAGAGAGTTTACCCAATATGAAATACGCCTCAGACCAATTCTGTTGAGAATACTATACATGTTAGCATCAACAGGTAATAATACACCATATCTGTTTCCCATAAATGTCTTTTTTTAAGAATTATTTTAATTTTATTCACTGTCATTATTTTTATTTATTTATTTTTCGAAGTTGACCAGAGAGAGAGAGAAGGAAAGTGAGAAAGCAGGCAGCTAGGTCCAGGATTCGAATCTCAGTCAGCCATGTGGGAGTCCAGCTGTCTTAACCACCATGCCAACTGCCGGCCCCTCCACAAATGTCTTACTTCTCTATTGTTCTCCCTAATTTCCTTCCCTTCACTCTTCTCCTCTCCCACCCTCCTTCCACCCTGGTCTCCAGTGTCCATAACCCCAGCTGCTTTTCAACACACTCTCTGCCTTCTTAGCCTGCAGGTGCAAAGATGAGCAATGGGAAGACATCCAAACACCAGCACCTCACAGGGATAGAAAGTCCAAGTGGATCTTATTCCAGGACTGAAATGGATGGTGAAGTCCCAACCAAGCCTAGAAAACAGAAGGTGAGATGAGGTTTGCTCCCCAGAGGCTGGGGTCTTGCCTCTAAAAGGTGGGGATGAGTTGCGACAGCAGCTGTCAAGCTGTCCCTGAGTGCCCTTCCCAGGTGGGCTTGTTTCCGGGAGGCCAGGTCAGGATTGTGGGGTTCAGTCCGCAGTGTCTACCCCCCACCTCCCTCTCTTACACTCACTCCCACCAGAGTACACAGTTCCTTAGAAACCCTGGGTGGTTTAGAACCAATAAGCTTTGGGAAGAGAAGAGATGTGGAGCTGACTCAGGCAAATGTGGAGCTGACTCATCTTTTACAGTGGAGAGGACAGAAGCACTGGTCCAGGCCATTGTGAACCTCCTGAGTCCTGTGCCCTTTCCACTACACCACACTGGCTCCTACCCATTTATCTGCTGCCTGGGGGTGGGATGGAGGTAGAAGAGAAGTGGGGCTCAGAGGGGCAGTAGGGATCTGGGAAGTCCTATGCCCGCACAAGCTGGAGACGAGGGAGCTACCCTTCCCAGCAGGGCCCGAGGGGCAAGGAAATTCCCCTACATGACCTCATCCCCCAAATGCAGTGCACTGTAACAGATGCCTGTGGTCCCATCTACGGAACTGGGGCTCTCTGCTTTCTGGAGAAAGGATTTCTGAAGGTCGTTGGCAGGGAGGGTGACTTGGACACATTCCATTGATCATTACACTTCCAGCCTTCAGTCAAGGCTAACTCTTGGAGAGGTCTTATCTTACACTCTGGGCTTCCTCATTGCCCCACAGAGGAAGCTTTTGCTCCTGAAAGCTGAGAGATTGGGCCTTGGAGGGACTGGGCAGGTGGTTCAGAGACTTTGGCCCCAACAGGTACTGTGTCAGCACCTAGTGCTTTAGGAAAATCAGCCCGGGAGAAATCTGGATGCCAGTCCCAGTATTAGCCTGGACTTGGCGAATATTAAACAAACTATGGATTAGGTGCTGGCACACCCTGGGAGAGCTTGTAGATGAGGGCAGGAAGCCAGAGGCTGGGGAAGGTCCGAGACAGTTGACCATGGCAGAGCCCAAGATGGGATTTTTCTGAAGGGAAGGCACAGGAGAGGAGAGAACTTGTGGACTTTTCACAATCTGACCACTCTTGGAGCTCTAAGTAGATAGTGTCGACACAGGCCCTTATGGAGACAGCTGGGCAGAGCCCAACTAGGGTGACAACTTGCAGCCTCAGGGCCAATTCCTGAACTCTACTTTTCTTTCCTGACTTTCTTCACTTAACCACCAGGATATGCAGGCGACCTGGAGTCAGTGACCTGAACTGTGTCTTCCTGGAAGATGGTGGGACGAGGTCAGCAGAGGGGTACCAGCTGCAAGCCAGACGGCAGGGGAATTCCTCTCCTGAATTTTGAAGTTTTCCTTCTCTTCTGCCGAGCTTGTTGCATCACTTGTCCAGGAGATGCCTGCATGGTTCGGCTAAGCTGGGACATCCTGAAGAGTCTGGGCTGGATGGGTGGTGAGAGGAGGATGTGGCTCAGCTATTTTACTGTTTTCCTACTGTTACCACCCCCTGCAAAAGTTCTGTAGGAATGAGTGACAGTAAGAAAGACATGGGTCCAGGACTGGCTTCCTCTTAGAGGTGATAAAAGCCAGAGAGAAGGTACCTGATGCGAATGGCAGAGAGGTAAGTGACAACTCTTCCAGTGCTGGTTCCGGCTGCTTTTATCTCTTTTTCTTTTCTTTCTTTCTTTCTTTCTTTTTATTTATTTTTATACATTCAATTACTACACATCATTCTGCTTATAGAGAGAGTTTACCCAATATGAAATACGCCTCAGACCAATTCTGTTGAGAATACTATACATGTTAGCATCAACAGGTAATAATACACCATATCTGTTTCCCATAAATGTCTTTTTTTAAGAATTATTTTAATTTTATTCACTGTCATTATTTTTATTTATTTATTTTTCGAAGTTGACCAGAGAGAGAGAGAAGGAAAGTGAGAAAGCAGGCAGCTAGGTCCAGGATTCGAATCTCAGTCAGCCATGTGGGAGTCCAGCTGTCTTAACCACCATGCCAACTGCCGGCCCCTCCACAAATGTCTTACTTCTCTATTGTTCTCCCTAATTTCCTTCCCTTCACTCTTCTCCTCTCCCACCCTCCTTCCACCCTGGTCTCCAGTGTCCATAACCCCAGCTGCTTTTCAACACACTCTCTGCCTTCTTAGCCTGCAGGTGCAAAGATGAGCAATGGGAAGACATCCAAACACCAGCACCTCACAGGGATAGAAAGTCCAAGTGGATCTTATTCCAGGACTGAAATGGATGGTGAAGTCCCAACCAAGCCTAGAAAACAGAAGGTGAGATGAGGTTTGCTCCCCAGAGGCTGGGGTCTTGCCTCTAAAAGGTGGGGATGAGTTGCGACAGCAGCTGTCAAGCTGTCCCTGAGTGCCCTTCCCAGGTGGGCTTGTTTCCGGGAGGCCAGGTCAGGATTGTGGGGTTCAGTCCGCAGTGTCTACCCCCCACCTCCCTCTCTTACACTCACTCCCACCAGAGTACACAGTTCCTTAGAAACCCTGGGTGGTTTAGAACCAATAAGCTTTGGGAAGAGAAGAGATGTGGAGCTGACTCAGGCAAATGTGGAGCTGACTCATCTTTTACAGTGGAGAGGACAGAAGCACTGGTCCAGGCCATTGTGAACCTCCTGAGTCCTGTGCCCTTTCCACTACACCACACTGGCTCCTACCCATTTATCTGCTGCCTGGGGGTGGGATGGAGGTAGAAGAGAAGTGGGGCTCAGAGGGGCAGTAGGGATCTGGGAAGTCCTATGCCCGCACAAGCTGGAGACGAGGGAGCTACCCTTCCCAGCAGGGCCCGAGGGGCAAGGAAATTCCCCTACATGACCTCATCCCCCAAATGCAGTGCACTGTAACAGATGCCTGTGGTCCCATCTACGGAACTGGGGCTCTCTGCTTTCTGGAGAAAGGATTTCTGAAGGTCGTTGGCAGGGAGGGTGACTTGGACACATTCCATTGATCATTACACTTCCAGCCTTCAGTCAAGGCTAACTCTTGGAGAGGTCTTATCTTACACTCTGGGCTTCCTCATTGCCCCACAGAGGAAGCTTTTGCTCCTGAAAGCTGAGAGATTGGGCCTTGGAGGGACTGGGCAGGTGGTTCAGAGACTTTGGCCCCAACAGGTACTGTGTCAGCACCTAGTGCTTTAGGAAAATCAGCCCGGGAGAAATCTGGATGCCAGTCCCAGTATTAGCCTGGACTTGGCGAATATTAAACAAACTATGGATTAGGTGCTGGCACACCCTGGGAGAGCTTGTAGATGAGGGCAGGAAGCCAGAGGCTGGGGAAGGTCCGAGACAGTTGACCATGGCAGAGCCCAAGATGGGATTTTTCTGAAGGGAAGGCACAGGAGAGGAGAGAACTTGTGGACTTTTCACAATCTGACCACTCTTGGAGCTCTAAGTAGATAGTGTCGACACAGGCCCTTATGGAGACAGCTGGGCAGAGCCCAACTAGGGTGACAACTTGCAGCCTCAGGGCCAATTCCTGAACTCTACTTTTCTTTCCTGACTTTCTT